GGAGCCACACACATGGTGTTGAGCAGAGATCGACTCCCACTTGACCTGACCACAGACGCTTGACCTCTATTTGTGAGAGCACGTGGCTAACACTGGTAAGGAACACCAGTGTGAGGGGGTAGGGAAGTGGGAGAGAAGGAGGGTCTTCAGTAATTATGCTCATTCACTGAGCACCTACCATGTGCCAGGCACCGATCTAGACACTTAGAAGACATTGGCAACAACCAAAAAACCCAAAGATCTGTGCCCTCACAAGAGATTACATCCTAGAGGAGGAAATTAAGCAAAGCAATAGATGTGAAAAAAATAAGTAAATGATACAGAGAGTGATAAAGGCTATGAAAAAAGGTGGCAGAGCAGGATAAGAGGACAGCGAGTCCCAAGAGAGAGGCTCTAGCGGTAAACAGGGAGGTCAGGTGGGCTGCCCTGAGAAGGTGGCATTTCAGCAGACACTTGAAGGAGCTGTTTTTGTATCTGAGGGGAAAGCATTCCAGGCAGAGGGGACAGCCACTGCACAGGCCCTAGTGCTAAGAGGGTGGGGGAAGGAAAGTGACACAATCTGAGTAACTTTCTAAGAGGACTGCTCTGGCTGCTGTGCTGAGAACAGGCTGCAGGGACAGGCGGTAAGAAGGCTACTCCGGGGCGCAGCCAGGCAAAAGAAGGTGGTGGCTGGAACCAGGGTGGCAGAGTGGCGGTGGGGCAGGATGAGAGGAGAGCGCAGATGTTTTAAAAGCAGAGCCAAGGCACCTGCCTGAAGGAACAGGCTGAAGGAACGGGCATAGGGTAAGAGAAAAGGGTAAGAACTAACCAGCAAGAAACAAAACAAAGGACACCCTATGACACCCAGTCTGAGAGTCTGGACATAAACCAGCTGCCAAGGAAATGGCTTTTCTGCTAAATGCCATCACATGCAAATCACGGAGGGGTTCAGAGCAGGGTCCTGCAGGACCCCAGGCCAAACTCCAAGAAGTCGGGTCTACAGTAACAAGGCACTGGACAGACATGTCCCCAGGGATGGATATCCCACTGAGAGAGCTAACCGCGCATGATCAGAGAGGAAATCCAGACAGCTGATCCGAGGTTCAAAACAGGAAAGGAGAGAATGAGGATTTGGGGCCAAGAGGGATGGATACTGAGGAGAGGTCATAAAAGCAATTTAAAGTATATGAAAGGTTTCTTTACATTTACTGGGGTATCCTCAAATCCCAGGGCAGAAGCAAACAGAACAACATCCTTTTGTCCGATGGGTGAGGGAGGTGTGTGACACACACAGAAAGAACCTCATAATCATATGAGTTGTGACATTTCGCTTTTTTAGATCAGAGGAAGGAGGGCTAATGCTTGGCGTCTCACGGTCTTCCAGCATCACTGTGTGACCAGGGGAGGGGTGGATGAGATGCTCTGCTGGGATCTGTCCTGTCCCTGGCACCTGACTCCACTGTGGTGCATTTGCCAAAACCAGGAAATAACCAAACACTATGAAATGTTATAAATGGCAGTACACTGTCAACACCAGCCAGAAAGAGCTCCAGCATGCTCCTGAAATGTGTATGACAGAATTAGCAAAAAAGTGGCCCCTCCTCCTGACTTCTAGGCAACCACTCAGAAAGAAACCAACTTTGTTCTTTAATTACAAAGAAACCCCAAATGCTTCACACATCTATTTTTGAAATTTAAAAGTGGAAACCCTATTCCATAAATATGTTCCTCTGCTTCTGGCACTCAGGTTTGTATCTTCTTGCTGGGGACGTGCCAACCTGCTTTGCACTGGGAGCCCCCCCCACCCCCCCGGAATGGTGTCAAAACCTACCCATGCGTGCATCCAGCTCAAATCCCCCTGGTCTTGACATCACGGTAAGGCAGTCCTTCCCCCTCTGAGCCTGCTGCATGGGTGGGATTCTTGTCCTTAACTTCCCCAGCCCTAACCATCTCATCTCTGACTTCTCCAGAGTGGG